ATATCAGCGAAAAATACACGGCTATCCTTGAAATCGATTTTTCCTTCTCTTTCGCACGTCGCATTAAGAAACTATTTATAACGACATCCCTTCTTGTCTCGGTCTGTGAAACTGTCTGAACTAATTTCCTTCTCCACGATCACACCTCGATCTGTATTCTTTCCACGACATCGTCCCACTTTTCCCTCGATGATAAGCAAATTAAAGGTTTGCTCGAAACGCATCGATGCGTTTTAATCGAGTTTGTAGGGAAAGTAATTAATATACTCTCACGAATAACTGTATTTACGAACAATTTCACGATCACCGTGATCAGAATCTGCCACGATTAAAACATTCTCTGCAAACTGCTTCTCCATCTTCCTTTAAACGCTTATAATTTAATTCCATCTCAAGAATAACGATGATAACCGATCCTTCTCTGATTCGTGACGAGTAACGAACGTTCGTCCATTTTCATTTTTCATGAAAATTACGTGGAAGAACGAGAATATAAATAAAAAAGGGGGAAAAAAAACACGAGATAATTGCATACTCGCGGAAACCCAACGTTCCGTGTAGTTGCAATGGTTCCGATCACGGGATTGACACCGTTTACGGCGTATCGATATTGGCTCGGCCGCTATTTTTAGTGGGCCGTATCGTATTCTAACGATGCAAACCGCAAACGTGACCGAGTTATGCGACGTTGAGAGTCCCTTCTACGTAGAAACGAAGCGTGCACACGGCTACGTGACAAACTCACACGCGGCCCGTTGCGATATATACACTTATCAGTCGACAATGTCCGATCGCAGTCGTACGTACTGTCGATCGTTTCGAGTTCGATCCTCTTTTGGAACCGTTCCAGGGAGCGATCGAGTTCACTCCGAGAACTCGTGTCTCATTCTTGTCGAACACGTCGAATCCAAAATTCGACAAAATTTTCAATGGCTGCGCGTGTCGTTGGAAGGCTGTGATCGGCGGTTCTATCTTTTCGCGCGAATCGTTCGAACGAATTGGCGAAAGAAGGATTGATACGAGGCGCGCGTGGGCGTCCCGCTTCGAGGTGGCGGATAATATAACGTTCGCTTGTTTGTGATCTTGTTTCTAAGCGGTGTACGGAGTAATAATATCGTTTACGATATTGTTTTCTAGTTGTCTCCGGATGGATTGGAAAAAGTAGGTGGTGCCGTTATCACACAGGCTTGAGCGATATCGGTAGGAAATAGGCAAGGTTGTTGTGCACAGGTCGCTGATTCACGTTTCGCGAAATGGTGGGCGGAAATCAGGTCGAGGGAAATATACTTTATTTTTATTGATGCAATGTTCATGGATGCGCGTACATGTTTCAAAACATTAGACAATCCGCCCATGAGAATATTCGTTTTTGAAGGTTACATCATATTCCTGTAAAGAATTTATATACTTTTCGCCATTGCGTCACCTCACCTAGATATATTTAGAGTATGCCGAGTGGTATCTACTGCGATCTTTAGGATCTTAGCTAGCTGAAGGTTAGGAAAATATATGACGGTGATTACGAGACACATTCTTTGTTCTTCAACTTCGATCGTGAAACGAAACGCGGCTCGTCGAGAGCTATTTCGTCGTCTTATCACACGTGCTCTCGGTGAAGGAACCGCGAGATCCGTGCGCGCGCTCGTGATTTATAGAAACAAATATTTGTGCCCGACATAACGAGCAGATATTTGCAAACTTGGTAAATGTGACTAAAAAAAAAAAAAGAAAAAAAAGAAATTTATTCGAGTGAAAGTAGCGAGAATCGTTAAGCGATCATTGACATTTATAGGATGGGCTTCGACAATATTTTACAGACAAACTCTATTTTCTTTATTGGCCAACTCTAATAACACAACCGACAGCTTAAGACTTAAGACAGAACTCGACGAAGATAAGTTGTCGTCGATTAGAGAAACATAAATAAATTTTGAAAGGAATTGTACGTCCAATCTAATATAAGAAGATACAACTAGTATTCGATTAATAAGAGAACTTAGAACATTCCAATTTTTTTTTAAACTTTGCACATTTGTAGAGAATCTACAATTTATTATTATTATTATTTTTTTTATTCTTGTTAAAGTACTTGTGCAAAGTTTAAAAACGTTCTCTTGTATCAAGAAAATTTTACTTCTTTACGAAATCATTAAAGAATATACAAAACTAGAATACTACAGAAATAGATAAAATGACAATGGAATATTTTAATAATATTAGCAGATATGTAGATCGCACTTGGTGCTCTTCGAACCGATGCGTTATCAATTATTTATCACTCTTTATTTATTCCAATAATAACAACTCGAAAAATCAATATTAAAATATTTAAAAAAGAAATCAAAATGTTAAGCGTCCTCAAAGAAACATATCGTACGATCATTATTATTTAAAAGGAAAGAATTAATTTAATCTAATTTATATTGCAATCTTCCATCGAAAGTCTCTCATTATTGAAAGTCGGGAACGCGTGACAATGATTTGGCGGAAAAGACGGACGTGACAGGGACAAGACCTCCATCAACGGAAATAGAAAGCACGAATTCTCGTCGCGACGATTTACGTAAAAGCATGGAGGAGTACGTTAGGATATCTCTCGCCGACGTTTTCTCCGTATTCCAGCGAGGTCTTTGACAACGTGGCACAGGGGCAGAATGCGGGATAACGTTTTAAGAATGATGGTCGGTTAGTTGCCAAACGTACGATGTCCAGTCGGAGACAAAGAAAGATCCACACCGGGAATACAAATTTTCTTCCCCCTCCTCCCCTTTTCTGCTGGTTAAGGGTATGGTGGAAAAGGGCGGGAGGGGAGGGAGAACGTGAGGTACGCATAACGCGCGTAGCTTGCAGCGATTCGAGCACGATCGAAGCCGTGCACGCACGCCTGGTCACGGCCCCTGGTACGCACGCATTTGCATACGCGTAGCAATGCAGGGTGAAAGTACCGATACCGTGTCGCCTTGGTACAAAGATCCGATGGACGTTTCTTATCCTTCTCGCGGGAAGTTTAGCAACGTTGTTGGGAAATTTGGGAAAGGATAATTATAAGGAGGGATAATTATATATTATATTCCCTCATCGGTTGTGATAATTATTTTTATTAAACGTAGTGTAAGAGTAAGAGTAAGATCGGGGAATATGATACGAGAGAAATTATTTTTAATTACGTTCTATCGTGTCGACGACGAAAGGATGAGATTCGTAAGATGCTATCTCTTCTGTTTCACCTCGTAAACGCGGTCACGTTCGAAAATATACCTACGTTGGATAAGTACTAATTTATATTTATCTTGTTTCAGATCGCGGTGTCCGATGCTCGTGGTGTACATCGAGGAACGCGAAGATGTAGCTCGATCGACCGTCGCGTGATCATCAAGAATCGAATACCACCGCGGTAACAGTGGACATACTTATCTATAATTAAACTATATAATGCTGACAGTGTACCCCGAACGTGAACACTTACTCTCGCGTTGAATACCAGTTGAGCAGTTTGAATCTCTACAAGAGCAAACAACGATCTCCTCGTATTCGATGCCTGCTAAAATAATACTCGGCTTTTGAACGTCGGAAGAAAGGATCGGTCGTTGAAAAAAAAGAAAAAAAGAAAGAAGAGGAACGATAAGAAGGAATTCGACGATGGGGGGACACGCAGAGGGAGCGAGGATCGCGTGGTCAGTGGCACGGCTTCCGTCGTGGCCGTGGAGAACGAGATTCTTAGGCCAGCTGGCCTGAGATATGCCAGCAGCAACAGACCTCGTAATCACGGAACCATCGAGAACGATATCGTCCTCGTCATCGTCATCCACGTCCTCACCGTCATCGAGGCTGAGAACGGAAACGGCGGTATCGAGGTGTTCTGGGGGTGTCGCTGGCCGACAGCTGGCGGTAGAGATCGAGACGATCGAGCGCCGGGTCTGCGCGACCCGACGCGACCTCTTCGTACCCGTGACCGTCGACCCTCGGCCCAGTCGGGCCGTCCACTGTCCAGATCTAAACGCCTGTTTGGTGAACGAGTCTCGGTCCGGCCGCGACCAGGTCGATTGCCAGGCGATTCACTTCGGTTACGCGATCCCTGTGAACGTGGTCCCCCTGGGAACCGATCCACGGCTCGCCGAGCTCGTCTTGGACCACTCGACCGAGTTGAGCAGACGTGCCGCGAGCTTCTTGCTTGAGCACCATCCTCAGCTGCGTCAGCAGCGGCAGACGCAGCAGGAACGTTGTCCAAGCATGGCGGCAACCGCGAAGCACGATCTGCGACAGAAATTCCCGACGGACACCTCGACGTCCGGTGACGAGGACATCGCGGCGATCGCGAAACAGATCAGCGACCACGCGGAGGCCATCTATCAGACTTGGAAGAGCCGTGGGTTAGCCCCTACCGAGATATTGAACTGCCACAGCAATGCTACGGCAGCGGACAAGTTCGGAAGCGCTCTCACGCCGAGTTCCGCGTCGAACAGCGCGAACAATACTGGGAAAAGTTCGCCCACGAGCGGTACACCCGCCACGGCGGCGGTTGATATACTGAGCCAAACGCCGAATCTCGATAACGGAAATTTGGAGAAGCTGGTGAACAATTTCGTGGTGGAGGACAAAGCTAGGTTAGCCGCGTCGAGGCAGAGGTCGCCCTCGAAGACTCTACCCTCGTCGATACAGTTCGCGCTAGAGAAGTTCGAGAAGAACTCGATGCAGCAACAACAGCAACAATCGCAGACCTCTCCCTTGAAGAGCAGTAACGTTGGCGGTCAGGGGAAGGCGAAGCAAGGAACCATTCTCTTGTCCCCGACTTCCCCGTTCACGAACAAACCTTCGCAGATAGTGAAGCCTCAAGTTTCCCCGAAAACACCGGGCGCGCATCATCGGGAAGTGTTTTTGGAAACTATAGAGACCACTTTTCCCGCGGACATCACGCCCTCGAAGATCGTGGTGCAGCAAAAGAGGCCAACCAGTACGGTGATCACCTCTCCCACCGCTTCCTCCAATCTCGACGATTCTTCCACGAATTCAGGTTTGACCACTTGGCCCCTGAAGAACAAGTTGAACGACAATAAAAGAATAACGGATCCTTGTAGATCACCGCAACAGGAAAGCAAATCGTTGACGAGCAAGGAGGAGAAGAGGAACAGCGGTTCTAATTCGAGCGCGTACCTGGACGAGGTTGCACGCGAGGAGGAAAGACTGATAAACGCTCTGAAGACGGGCTCGGTGATCACGGAGGAGCCCGTGGAGAGGACGGTGCCTCTGACTCGTCAGAAACCCGCGATCAAGAGGGAGAAACCGAAGGTGGAGCCCGTTAAACCGATAATCATCGGTCACAATCATCATGGAGGGGGCCTGGTCCCCGCTTCCGCTGCCATGGTGAACAACGTGACGTCCACCGGGACATCGGGAACGTCTAACGCTAATGCAACGTCAGACGCGAAATCTCTGAGCAAGGATGATCTGTCCAACATGTCAGTGGTGGATTACGCGAAAGTCAGATACAGAGCGGCTCAGCAAAATCCTCCGACCCAACAGAGGTTGGAGGAGCAGAGAACGAACAACAACAGTTTCAATTCCACGGAGCAGTTAGTGTCGACCACGAGGTCCAAATTCGAAACGGAGATACAAAAGGACAAGGAAGCGAGTAAAGAGGAGAAGGATCCTGTCACGTCTAGATGGGGCCCTAGAATCAATTCGCCAAGGCCAAGAATCGAGCAAGTACCTCATCCGGAATTGACCACCCAACAGAAGCAGCATATTAGAGCCGCCGCCGCAACTGGAACCGGGAACAATCCTATCAGACCGTTTTTAACCAGGGGATCCGTCGCTGAACGCGTTTTGATCTTCGAGAAGTGCCCGAGCGAGCTGTTGCTCGACAAACGAGGGCCACGACAACCGGCCATCAACACTTGGAGAACAGGACACGAGGTTCAAAACAAGGCTCAGGTAAATCGACCGCGATCCACAATTATCGTTTCTTTCTTAACTTTTGCCTTACGTTTTTGAAAACTTGACGTTAGAGAGATGTTTTTTTATACACAAAAAAAATAAAAAAAAATACAAAATCGATCCACGGAAGCGGAGGAAGATTTAGAAGAGGTCCGTTTAAAAAATCGAGAGCAGACGTGTTCGAAAACTTTTTACAAGGCCGCGCAATTAAACATCCATTTACACGTGGATGCGTAAAGAAAATCCTGCGAAAGACGAGCCACGTTTTCCTGGAAGAGATGGTTAATTCGGCGGGACGAGACTGTACCTCGAGAACTTCCACGACGATCGGGAAGACGTGTCTTCTCTCGTATGTTCTCGCCACTCTGGGTGGCTTATATCGGGCGTTTTGGTCGGCGTCCAAATTCCTCCTTCCCTGGGAGGATGTTCGACCGGTCGACTCCTGCACTTTTGTCTCGAAACGAGTTCAAGATCTCTTCGCGTAGAGGTCGTTTCTGCATGCCTTTATCCGCAAGCCTCTTCTTCTATTCTTCTTCGTTATCGAGCTTGTGCAATTTTCTTTGATTTCTTTTTTCTGAACCCGTTTGAACACGGTTGATATTAATGAATTGAAACATACGTGAAATTATACTCTGAAGATATAAACAGTGTTGAGGTATCAAAGACCTCGCGAAATTGTTAATTAAACATCTCGTATTATTACTCGATCACTTTCAAGCGATTCTTCTAAAATAAATATCTTTCTTGCGAATTATTGAAACTATGTCTTCTCGGAAGATGCGTCATTCGAAAATTAGTAAGAAACACGAATTTAAATCGATCGAAACGATTAAGAAAGAATAGTTCTCGGGAGTTACAAAGCTGGTCTGGATGAGGGCCAAAAAAAGGAGGATTATACCTGGCACAGTTGCCTGCCAAAAACTGTTATCGCCCTGGCTTTTCCTAGTCGAGCATAGGTATAATTGTTTCGAGCGTATCCATCGATCGTCCCGATCCTTTAATCTCTCCGCTAATTCTCATCGATCTTTTTTCTCTTTTTTTTTTTTTTTGTCCTAATTTAATTTAATCTCTCGAAATCACCGATCTTAATCTGAACGAGTTCCCTTTCGGTAGTCAATCTTGATCTATAATACCGTTGATAGGCCTCGGGTTCTCCAATATGGCGGTGCTGAGCGCTGGAACAATGCACGTGGCCCGAGGGGCTTGGCTATGCCATTGTTATTAAACGGTTATTACGTTCTCACTATGCTTTGATATCAACCTTGGATTCGCTCAAAGACATTCCTTTCCTATACGTATTTAGCAATGGAATTGGCTTTTCGAATTAACTCGAGATAATTATCGAGCTGATTTCTAGAAAATTGATACCAATCCCCTCGCTCGATTCGTCGTTGCAACGAACGATACGAACGAATGGAAACAATAAGATTCCTCGAATTCCAGCGTGCGTGGAATAAGTGAGAAACACGTAGATATTTATGGATGCAACGGGTAGCGGAGAGGCTGTAGCGATTTTGCGCTCGCGCGGTGCATCGTCAATAGACGTAAGGGAAAGGTTCAACGAAATTCGTCTGTTGGGAGGGAGGGGAAAAGAAAAAGAAAGAAGAAGAAGAAGAAGAAGAAAAAAGAAGCAACTAACTGTGAAAACCGATGTATCCAGAAATCGATGGCGTTTGTTGACCAACGTCGGATTATTTTCTTATCCTTGGCACTGCGTACTGAATCCCTCTTTCCCTCTCGGCGAACCGCTCTGTTCTCGTCAATTTTAATCGTTCAAAGAGAGAAAAATGGACAAGATCTCGAAGAAGAAAAGGCGCTTATAGGCGGCGAGGAGGAGAGGAGCTCGATTAATTTAATCGACGTAGAGTAGAAACGCGGCGTGTCCGTCGTTTGTTTGGTCGCAGCTGAGTCATGTCTCGGTTTTCGTTACGATTAAATGTTATTCGACCTCGAGGAGAGAAATAAAGTGGACCACCATGGCCATAAGTGGAAACGGACAGCTCCCGGGGCCAGCTTATCGCCGTTACCGTTGGTTAAATAATACTCGAGGCAATACGATGTTACGTCGGTGTTGTTTATTCGTTCAGGGTGGTCCGTGCTCCATACGCTTTGTTCATTACCGAGCAAACGGCGGTAGTTCGGGGATATAGTTGGATCGTGTTTGTCATAGAATTGCCGGAATACCGTTCGAAATCACCGCGAGGGATTCATTGAATCAACGATATGATGATAGAAGGACGGGTCGAGGCGTTGACGATGAGCGTGCGGCCAGGCAACGTTCCAGGTATCGGGTAATTAAAAAATTTCTATTGGAAAAGACGCGCGCGTTGCGTCTTGCGGTGTTGTGTCCATATCCACCGTATGGAAGAACGCGAAGACGCATGCGGCGCGTGATCTCGAGGCGGCAGAAAAATAGGAAAAGAGTTCGATCGCGGATTCGAACGGCGAGAAATCTTGCCGGCGAATATCTGCGACCGCTGACTGACTCATTGTGCCAGCTCCTTATTGGATATGAGCGCTAGATTTCAAAAGGCCGTCGACAGTCGCCTTGAAGCCGAGTGTAACGCCGCTTATGGCTGAAAAGCGGTCCCCCGGCCAGGAAAGTTAATCCGCGACCGGCTACGTAAGAGTCGTTAGAGTAATAGGAACCAGGAAGGAAACGATCTAGTATTCGATGTTCTTGAACGATGTGCAGGTATCGAGTTTAAAATTCAAATATTCAAGTTCGAAAAGTTCAAACGTAAATATTTACATTTAAATTTAAATATTCATGGATTTTTTTTCCCTCGTATAAATATTCATGAATTTTTTTTCGCATATTTTAAACGTTAAAAGCGTAAAACAAACTTATTCTGCGTAATATTGTAGAGGTCTCGATGGATCCAATCGATGAATTAGATTCGCTTTCTGCCGCATCTCTACGCTTCCCTTCAACCCCCGCAAGAACATCCGATTGAATCAGGCCCTCGATGAAATGCCACTTCCATCGCGATTCCAATTAATTTAAAATATGTTTATGGACTTCAGCGTCTCGCTTCGAATGAACGGAGCTACCATGAAAGTTCAAAGTTAGGAATAAAATTGAATGAAAATATCGAAGGTTCGATCGAACGGCGAAGGTCAAGTATTCGGTGTCGGAAACGAACGGTCCTTGGCCGGTTGGCAGAGTTCGAAGGGCTCGATCGAGAGGTGCAGTCGAATTTGCTATGTCAATTGGAACGTTGATTGACGGTATCCCGTGTGTCACGCAGTGGACCGTGCCAAACATGAGGCCGTAATAATTGTTTCGGCCATTTTGCCTAATCTATCCCAATGTCACGGGAGCTAAACGTGATCTGTTCCGGCATTTGCACGATGATTCGCATCTTGATGATGATCGCAACCTACTCGATTCCCGCGTGTATACGCGTATTATATTGCAGTAATGTAAGTTCTTCTCTCTTTCTATTTTACTTTCTTTCTTCTCGTTAAATTTCATCGAAGAATCGAGTTTTTCACGTTAGATTTATTCGACCCGAGGATATCGACGATTATCGTTTGGTTATTCGAGTGGACGTTGTCTTATTTTTACCGCGCTGAACGGCATGCATTATTGATCTTTTCTTAAACGGATTTCATCGAAGAAGTTCTACCGCTATTTTTATTACGTACAGTATTTTTTTTCTCTCGTCTATTATTACCGTTGCTGTCGTTAGCCTTTCCCTTATTTCTGGCGATCATTGACACCTTTTCTTCCCGATTTCTTCGTTGTTGAATAAAAAAGAAGAAACACACTTTTAGAAATTTTCTTCGTCGAAGGAAAAAAAGAAAGAAAAGAAAAGAAAAAAGATCGATCGATGAACACTCAGCACGTGGAAATATCCTCCTCGTCCCGTGACCATGATGTTGGAAACAACAACGCGTAAAAGTGGCTCGTGATGTAATCATAGTCACATGGGCGAGGCGATGCATTAGCCGCGTTGGCCGGCCTCTTTGCATTCTTCGGATCCTTGGCGTCGCGTAACAGGATGTCGCGTCCTTGGTTCGCCGATACCTTCGCTTTCGAAGAAGCGTAAAATTATTCCTATATCGTCGAGGCGATCGATTAGCCACCTTTGAGAACCTCATCGATTTCTCGTAACCGGAAGCACGAACAATATAATGAGATCAGGATTGTGGCTCGTCGTGGTGTCCTTTGTTTGTAACGCGATAAAACGTACTTATGTAACGAGAAGAATTAAACACAGAGGAAATAAATAAAACTTTTCCTCCAATACCTTCCAAGAATTTATTTTACGAGTATTTGTGTTTTTTACCAATAATTATAACTTGTAATTGCAATTCCGTTCGCGAATATTATTATCATGTTCGAATAGAGCGGTGCAAAATTGCAACCACACACGAATCCACGAATCAGGAATCCACGATCGTGCACGGAGAAACGTTCGTGGTTGCGATTTTGCCATTTTTCACGGATCCAATCAGTTTCCCCGGAACGATGCTTGTTGGTTCTAGACGTACGCGAAAGACAAGACACAGCAAAAGAGCTTGCCACCGCACACGACACTCCAGAGGCACGTGAAAGCGAACAGAAACGTTCACATACCACGGTAAACGTTGATCCAAACCGTATATACCGATACAACACTGTTGGTATTAATCGAGCAAACACCGATAAACGCGAAATATCTATTGGTCGTTTGCAGATTTTACTTTCCCGGAGGAAAACCTTTGCCGTTATCGCAAGTGGAGGCAACTATCGCGAGGATCACCGCCGCTTTTCAAGCTCTTCCCGGCCATCGTGCGTCCCGAGCCCAATTTCACACAATTACGAAGGTATACTAAACTATATATTTTTCTCTCCAAGATTTGATCTTGACCGTTCGATTATTCTCTCGTGGGTTATTCACGTGGGAAACTCGTTCAAACTTCCATTGATGGGACAGCTGTATAGTATACAAAAGCGTATGATTTGTGTTGCAGGCATGCGACTTGCCACTCTATTGGAAAGTGCCGCTTTTCCTCGCGGCTGGCGGAGATCAGACAGGCTACGTTGAGATGAACGCGTTCCTTGATTTTTGGAAAGAAGAGTAAGCAACGAATATAAGCTTATTATAACGTATATTCTTAAAATTCACGAACGTTCCCTTCACGTACGATTCGATACACGAATAAATCAAGATTTATTTTAGGATCAGACGGCTCTAATTTTAATTCTCAATTTCTTCTTTATATTCCATCAGTTTAACGATTATTGTGGGGTTGACTGTTTGCAGAATATCGAACACCCACCACGATGCGGCGAGCAAGTTTATTCGAATCACAACCCGGGGCCAGAGGAACAATATACTGCCGGAGGATTTGATCCCCCTGGTGCAAGACGTAGTCGAGACCCATCCCGGTTTAACTTTTCTCAAAGAGGCTACTGAGTTCCATTCACGCTACGTACACACGGTTCGTATTCGCGCGATAAATATTTGCTGGATATTTCTCTCGTTTTCAAGACAAGGATATATATATATAGAGAGAGAGAGAGAGAAAAAAGAAAAAAGATTCCACAGAGAATTGACCATACGATTTACGCAACGTGAATCGTCTTGAATTATTCAACGTGATCGTGCTCGCCTCGAGCAATTATCACACGCGCTCTTCTCACTCATTGGAAAATCATTTTAACGAGTCGACGAGTATTTTATACCATATTGACCATTTAACAGTGGAATTCTTCCGTTCTTTTTCTTCAGTTAAACTGGCTTCCGTATTTACACGAATTATACATTTGTACATTCAATATTGAGGAGGCAGTTAACACGATGAAATTTATATTTAAAGTTCTTAATTGATGATTTTGATGAATATTCATTCTGTCCAGGTGATCGCTAGGATATTTTATTGCGTGAATCGAAGCTGGAGCGGAAGGATTTCCGTGGCGGAGTTGCGAAGAAGCAATCTGCTCTCGGTGATCGCGATCCTCGAGCACGAGGAAGACATCAATCAAGTAACAGCTTACTTCAGCTATGAGCATTTCTATGTGATCTACTGCAAGTTCTGGGAGCTAGATCGTGATCACGATCTTTTCATCGACAAGACAGATCTCACAAAACATAACGATCACGGTAAGAAAAAAAAAAAACACTTTCCTTTACAATATTCCGTGTAAATTTCGTTACAAGGAAATTCATTTTTCAACTCGAGCGTGTTCTAGCTCTTTCCAAACGTATGATCGCGAGAATATTCAGTGGTGCAGTGACAAGGGGTGGCGTGAAAAGCGGAAACGGCGTTCAACAATCTCAGGATAAAATGAGTTACACGGAATTCGTGTGGTTCTTGTTAAGCGAAGAGGATAAAAATCATCCGACCGCTATTGAATATTGGTTCAGGTATAATGTTGAAGCGTTTAAGATTACGTATATTGGGTGGATGATTACGTATGGTTCATTTTGGATGATCAATAGGTGCATGGATCTCGATGGTGATGGATATTTGTCGATGTACGAATTGGAATATTTTTACGAAGAACAATTGCATCGTATGGAGGCGATTGGATTGGAGACGTTACCTTTCGAGGATTGCCTTTGTCAGGCAAGTCGTGTTAGAATATTAAATATTTTATATATTATGTATTCATTCTATTGTTTCGTTTATTCAATTATGTTTTAAATGACTTTGTATAGATGTTAGATATGATCAAGCCGGAAAAATCAGGAAAAATATCCCTAAGCGACTTGAAAAAGTGTAAAATGACTTCAATCTTCTTTGATACGTTCTTCAACCTCGAAAAGTACCTGGATCACGAGCAGAGAGATCCCTTTGCATCTGCAAGAGAACATGACCCTGATGGTCACGAGGTAAAGAGCTTTAGAAATTATCAGAAACAAGTAGATTTAACAGGAAAAGCAGTTGTTGTTACTGAGCATTTTACTGATATCCGTTATCGTTACGTTTTTTTTTTTTTTTTTTTTTTTTTTT